TGGGAGCTGGGACTCGGGTGTAACCCAGGTAGAACACAATCGTCGAAAACTCGTCAGTGACCCTCATTTGACGTCAAAATGAGCTCGTTCTGGCTACCTAGGCGCAGTAAATTTTGACGATGAGCGTCAAAATGAGGTCATTTTGACATCATTTTGACAAACGTGTTCTACCTGGGAATGTGTGTGTGGCGACCACTGCGCTCAGGGCAGGGCCGACCTGAAGTTAAAGTAGAATCGGGACACGGCTCACCTCCGTCGGCTTGGTAGCTTTGGTGGCAGGGTCGCTGATACTGACGATTGGATTCGACGTTCGGCAGTCGGGGTTGTGGGTTCGATACCCGCGTACCCCTCGGGACGGAAAAAGATAACAGTCCCCTCGGAGATAAAGCCTCGGAATGGGTTTTAGTCTTGCTCACCTTGCGACACCTGTAAGTTCAACAACCCCAGGATATGCGCTGTGGTTGGATGCGCCCCGTCAGAACTCTCACCGCCGACGACACCCTCTCACCACACGTTTCGAGACCGGCCTCCTGGCTCTTTGATATCGCTGCAATGTTTGAACTGTGAATCGAGGGTTCTAAAACTCGTCGTCAAAATATTCGTTTTGGGGTTTGAATTTTCTCAGTGTGGGGTCGGCGACTCCCGGGTCGGAGGTTCAAGCCTTGCTGCCGGCTCTCCTTTTTCCTGAGCGACTAAAAAAGAGGAAGAAATCGCGTGACCCCCAGCTACCGGCGGGACTCGAACCCCAGTGAGTTGGATGGAATCTGGTAGCATTCGAACCGGGCGACCAAGAAAAAAAAAAAAAAAAAAGCGCTGGCGGCAAGGCTTGATCCCCCGACCCGGGGGTCCCGGACCCGACACCTTGACAAACTCGGCTAAGAGACCGCACTCGTCGCACATCGACTAGAACACAGGCTTATGATAACGCTGCGTGGGAAAGAAAGAGAGGGAGAAAAAAGGCTCGCCGGCCGGATCCCAGGTGGGACTCGAACCCCAGCGCGAGTTGCCGACTAGTCGAGCTTCTCGTACAGTGCGAGAAAATTCAAACCCCAAAACGAATATTTTGACGACGAGTATTAGAACCCCCCGATTCACAGTTCAAACATTGCAGCGATATCAAAGAGCCAGGAGGCCGGACTCGAAACGAGTGGTGAGAGGTCGTGATGGAACCGGTTGTTCTCCCGCTCAATCTACTGCGCTGACTCGTGCCTTGAGCCTAGCTCGCCCGGTCACCTAGACTGTGGCGTCGTAGCCGCGCCGGTAGAGAGTCGGCCCCGTGCGCCACAAGCACAAGTCAGTGGTTCGAACCTCCGATCCCAGCTACATTTTTCTGAACCGGTCGAACTCTTGGAGTTGAACTTAAACCCGTCATTTCAATGGGGCACCTATGTGGATGAACGAACGGTCTGGTGGTTAACGCTG